CTTGTGGGCTATTAATAATTCTTAGATAATTACTTGGGTTCTTTATTTGAACTACCCTTTTCTACGACCGCCACTTGGTCATAGTGTTCTAGATGTATGCAAGTATTACTACTATTGTTTGTATAAACAAAGATGGTCGATGACAAATCGGTGCTCGAATCTAGTTTTAATTTTAATTTTAATTTTAGTTCAATACGTTTGTTGCGCAGTCGAAAGCAAATGTATCTATGTTCCGTGGTCTACCAATGTGATAGTTCCACGAGGATCTTTCAACGCAAGGTTCCCAACGTGGGTCGCGCGATAACATAAGACAGAAAACCGCTCTCGTTTCCTTCCCCTCCGGGTTTCCATTAATCTCACTTCCGCGCAGAAGTCGGTAACAGTTTTCCGCCGTCGGCGTCGTCCCTTTTGACCCGTTAAATTGCGATCGCCGGGCGCGTGTACCTGCAACCCGCTTCCAGGAGCAATTAGTCACGGTGCTCTTGATAAATCGCTGGAATCCTAACCTCCCCATCGGGGTTAAGTCTCGAAAGCATCCCCTCCTACGTCAAATATCCAATAACAGCCGGTCGACTCCTCCGGGTGGTGCTGGTGGCTTCTCTACCTGCACGACGGGCATCAACCTTCACCTATCGACGAGAGATCGGCTTACCTTAATAATCGCAGGCGCGCCGTTCGACGTTCCAAGGGGGTTAGGACGTTACGGGGCCAGGAACACGCGGCCAGGCTCGCGAAGAAGGGTGTTTCCATGGCGCTCGGACGGGATCGTTCGTTACGCACCACGAGGAACGACGTGAAATCGCCCCGGAGATGTAATGAAACATTCTTACCCACCTCTGCGCGAACCGGAGACCCTGGATACCGCTTTCGACTCTGCAACGTCCTTTTCTTATTAGCTTCCGTGTAATTAGCTTCTCTCTAACGAGGAATTAGACGCGTTGCTCAGGTGTAGGGTGTCTTTGCCAAAAAGCGAGAATTCAGACGTCATCTTTGTCGAGGTTGAAAACAATCGACCGTACCAAGCCTCCAATTCGTAGTTTTTTGTTCAATTATTTGTATACCACCGACTTTGGATCGCCCAGTACGCGTTTCGCGGGGAATATTTCCACGGAGGGGCGTCGAAAAACAGACCCGGATCCACCCGTCGCGAGACGGACAATCGCGCCATCGTCCCCCCGATGACCCGACGAGAAACCCACAATCAACGATTTCGGGTACACCGGCTCGCGTCAATCTCCCGGTCCATTCAGGTGTGTTCGATCCTTTGTCCGTCCTGTGGTGAGGGGGGGAGGCATCGGGAGCGAAAGGATAAAAGGGGGGGGAGTTGAACGAGTCGAAACGCACACAGGCTCGGTTCGAATAAGTATCGTTTTATTAATATCTCTGTCGTTATTTACAAAACTTTGTAATAATCTCTAAATTTCTTCACCGTCACACGCTACTCGCTATTCGTCAATCGATTATACCTTGACGGTTGTCTGTGCCATGTGTGTTGTGTGTGTGGTGTCGATCGTGTCCGTGTGTACCGTGTGTTACATTAATTGCCGATAATGCTCGAGTGTTTTTTCGCTAAATTCGTTTACAGTAGAATCGACGAACGCCCCGGCTCGTCGATGGTGTTCCTCCCGGATTCCCTCCGCGTTTCCGGTCGGGCGTTCGCGCCCTATAGACCCGCCGCCTCTATTTACACCGTCGGATTCACACCTGTGACCTCGTTATCACAGCGCGCGATACGCGCGTAACAAAAAAAAAAAAAGAAAAAAAAAAAGAAACAAGAAAGGAAAAAAAAAAAAACGCTCGCCGCTCTCTTTTCGCCCCGTTTCCTTTCTTCGTTCTCTCGTCGACCGTGGAAAGAGCCGCGATCGATCCTCCTCTTCTCTATCCCGCGAGCGTACCGCGTCACAATTTTTTTTCTTTTTCTCTTTTTTTCGAGGAGCTCGCGACGCCAGCCCCCGAGCCGCGAGACGCCCCCGCAATATACACCGCTCCTCGAACTATGTACACACGCGTGTCGCGGCTCGACTCGCTCGCGACACGATTCCGGGGCGCGGAAAACGCGGGATCCGGAGCGTCTCGTTCAATGGAACCGAACCCCCGGCGAACCCGGGGCGGTCGATTAATCCGTTTCGACTGTTCTACCCGGCCGCGAAGTCGCTTCTCTGTCTCGCCTCCGGGGCCTCCCCTTTTCACTCGTCCAAACACCGGTGTTTCAGCTTTCCCCGGCCCCGACAGCTGATTGCTCGATCCTCTCTCTCTCTCTCCTCGTCGGCACACATACTCCTTGTTGGCTTTCTTCCGCCGAGGAATCCGGCAGACGTTGTTTCGGCCACCGAAATGGAAAATATCGGTGTTCTCTCGGCGTTCGAGCTTCCGGAGTACCCGGTATGTCTCTCTACCCAGGTCATTTTTACGGTCGTTTAATCTTGGTATTAGTTTCTTGTGTTGTCTTTTAGCGAAACCAGAATCGAAATGGAACTGAAAACTAACAATGTAACTGTTCTCGATCCTTGGTACTGTCTGAAAGGTGAGTTGATTTCCTGTCTTCCTGTGTCTCTTTCCGTAGCCCTCCGTAACTGAAATTGTTCTTTGAACCGTAGGTATCACGATGCGTGAAATGAAGACGCCTCACGAGTCGATGCTTTTAGAAGTGGTACAATGGCAGAGTTTGAGCTTGTTCGTACAACATGTAAGAAGGAACAGTCCAACAATTCTCGCGGTACCGGAAGTTCGAATATCGACTCCCGGACTCGATCGCGCGACGAACCCCGGAGGCTAACTCGAGGCGACCTTAATTGCTCGACGTCCGTTCCCTTTCCCGAATTTTCGCTTTAAAACACTTTTCGCGTAACGAGGCCTTAGCTTGCAAATCTCTCGCAAAGGAACCCACCCCGGCCCCCTAACGAGGACGAATACTTTTAATCTTTCCGTTCGCGATCGTCGTTGAATCCCTTCTCGACGTTAATCTGCATTAATCGATCGTCGTTCGAGAGAACCCGCGTTCGACGTCTTTCAAGGAATCTAGATTTTGTCCCCCCACTCTGGATCTTATACAAAAAGTACAAACGTTGTTTTCGTCTGCAATTAATTGTGAAAAATGTCGCTCCCCGGGCTCCGTCCTTCGACCATCGACGCTTTCATCCTTTACCATCGCCATATAAATTCACCAAAGTGCAAAGTCTAATTCGTCGGTGCTCCGAGTTAGCCTCCGGATCGTCCGTGTTCCCCGTAAATGGGAATTGAAATCCCGCCTGGACCCGGGGGCTCGGTGAACAACGATCCTCCCGTGGAACGCGTTGTTGCGACAACGTGCAACACTGTCGCGAGCGCGTCTCCGGTGTCGCTTTTTGGTGAAACCGAGTCACGCGATCGAACACGTCCCCCCTCCCTCCCCCCTTCACCGGGGTGTACGGTTTCTCGCAATTGGAATCGGTTGCGCTTCGAGTGGCCCCGGAGCAGATTACTCGCGCGCCTGCAATCCGCTTTGACGTTCCGTTGTGCCTACATCTACGTCCACGGTTTGCGTTGGGGGTTGCAGGTGCAACGAACTCGTTCCCGACACCCGTTTCGCTTTGTCTTCGCCCTCTCGATCCAACCCTACCGATCGATGTCCTTAATTCGAAATGCCTTGGATATACACTTGCTCGTGTTCCCTACACTATAATGGCGGTTCACCGTGGATGGAAGGAAACTCTGGCCTTCGACGTACCCCCTAACGCTCATGGGCCGATTGTAGGAACGATTCTTGTTAAATCTGATACATTCAAGGGATGATAAATGAAAATAAAAATAAGTGTTTTACTTTGTATAGTATTCTGTATCCACTCTAATAAACTAGAGGGTTGGACAAGGTATGAGCGTTAAGGGGTTAACAGCGACTTTGAAATTAAGTGTAGACCAACAGTGAAATTAGATACAAAATGAGAGGAGATATAGTTGTTTTGATTGGTCCAAGATCAGTATCTCTAGTATCTAGTTAACGTTGCAAACTCTCCAATGGCGGTCGAATTAAGACTCCTGAGCGCTTCTATGAACAGCTGTATCTTTAAAACGGTTAGAGATACAAAAAAAGTCTCACGAGGCAAAATTATAACTATAATTTTGATTTGGATTACAAAAACATACGAAGGTAGTTGTGTCCTGAACCAAACAGTTCAAAAGTTAGACTACTCAAAAATTAAGAGGCTACAGTAAATATTCCAATAAATTTGTTTACCTAGAAGCCATCTAATTTTGCTTCGTCAAATTTTCTTGTATCTCCTATTATTTTAGTCCGTGATCATGATTTCGAACGCTTCCGCCCACGCAAGAGCAAGCAGGCGACCGTGTATAGCATATCGTTAGGCCCTTTTCGAGAAGGTGCACGTCCCTTCTATCGTCGAATCCACGAAGGTTCGCGAGCTCGCGAGTCCACGGAGACCTCGACGGTTACTGAACGCTGAAAGTGTGTGTGTATGGTAGTAGAAGTTACAAAGAAAAATCGACGTAAGTACTTTACACAGGAATTACCTTTAGCATCGGGTTCGAGTTCACTTCGAGACACTTGAGAAATGTTCGCGAGTATTCGACCAAACGGTTCGAAGCGATTCGAATCGTTGCGCTACGCGAAAGAGACTTGAACGCATTTTATCACTGTCCCCGAGTAACCGTCCCGCGGTCGTAGCGCGAACCAAGTCCTCCCGGAGGATCCATCGAACGATCCTCCTCGATCTCCCCGGCCTCGTGATTCACACCGAGTTTCTTGCAACAAAAATTGTTCACTGGGTGGGGGGTGGTTCGTCACCGAAAAGGGGAGACAACAGTCCTCTCCCGGGCATAGTCGTTTCGAGGACGACCATCAGAGGCCCAGCGTTCCTCTGTGGCACGGGCATGGCGTTCCCGTAATAATCGACGGCGTCGAGCGTGCATGGGACGCGTTGCTCTTTCTAGGGACTGTCCTCCATCGGATACCAGGAAGCTGGACCCGCGACGGAGGGGTTCGCCCCCGCCGCCGATGGCATGTACTACCAGGCCCGGCCTTGGAACGGCAGGTACGCGCCGCACTGCGGCTGCTGTTGCTGCTGCATGCTCTGCTGCGCCCCCGCCCTCGTGTACGAGCAATGCTGTAGACTCTGGCTGGACGTCATCACGTGACTCACGCCGACCACCGAGTGATGGGACACCGAGGACGCCGCGTGATGGGACCCGTGGGGACTCGACGCCGCCGTCATGTGCGGTGCTGGACTCGCCAACGCGGCGCTCGGTCCGCCCCGGCTACCCTCGTTCCCGCCTCCGCCGCCGCTTCCGCAGGGTTTACCATCCTTCACCAGGACCGGGACAGCCACCCGACGCGGCGAACTCGCGCTCTGCAACAGGGAAAAGTCATCGTACGGGTTAAAAATCTTTCATGCAAACTCGACAGTCTTCTTTTTAACACAGTTCTCAAATTTTTGTTGTAGGTAATCCTGCAACTACGTCAAGAACCTGGACAATGGTAATCAATACAGTTTTACGAGCAACTAGCGAACTGGTCACTGATCAGACTGCTCGCTTGGACGTCGATGCCTCTCAGCATGTACATCCCGGAGTCTCTCGGACGCACGCATTGCACGGAAGACGTGGGACGACGGTGGTGGTTCGCCAGCAGGGCTTCTGTGTTCCGAGCAAACACGTGGGGCTCGGTAGGCACAGGTACTTAACCCGCGCGATACCTCGTGATCAGCGTACGGGTCTCCGGGCTCTCTAGCCAGCGGTGACTCTCTCTCATTACGAATAAACAGTACCCCAGCTACCGTGGACCCGGGTTCCGGGACTCTGTCGGCCGCGTCAACATCCCAGTCCCTAGCCCCCTGCTAGCCCCCCCCCCCCCTCATCGGTATCTCTCTTTCTGGCCGGGGACCCCACGGCATGCCAAACAGAAGCCGAAGCAAGCCGGCCGAGTACCTGCCGGAACGACCACTCAGCTGTATCAACATTCGGTACACGACATTCCTCTTCGATCTCCACGATGCTTTAATAATATAATCGCGCTCGGGAATAACGCCTCGTACGCGGCCACGATCCTTCCACGGAACCGACCCGCGTCGCTTTCTCGTTTGCTCGAGCCCAACAACCGCGGAGCCGCTACGCCGTCCGCCATCTTGATCGCGTGGGACGGATTTCGGTAAACACGCTACGAGAGTTTATAGGAGATTTTTTGGTATCTTCTGCTTAGGGGGGAGCATTTAATCTTAGACTGATGTAACCGCTACAGATGTTCGTGGACTTTATCATGAGGAAAGAGCAGTACTCAAGCTATAGAAGCAGTTATGCCGAGGAAACAGTCAGTCAGACACGTCCACCAGGTTCTCCAGGTGATCAAATTTGTTGTACCTTGCATTCCCTGCCCCTAAGACTCTACTTCTACTAAATATCTTTTGTCGAAGGTTTCGATGACCAGGAACTGAAAGTGAATAGAGGATGGGGGCTCGTGGACTTCATCGCGAGGAAAGGACAGTACTCAAGCAATAGATGGAGTTATGCTGAAGAAATAGTCAGAAATAGTCAGAAGAATAATCAGACAGTAACTAGCTAACTGACTAGCTCACTCCTTGTTAGCTAGCTGGCTAGCTCAGTCCTGGCTAGATAACTCGTTAGCTCACTCCTTGCTAGCTAGATAAGTAGCTCACCCTTAGCTAGCTAACTGGTAGCTCAATCCTTGCGTCTACTAGGTTCACCAGGTGATCAAATTTGTCCTACCTATCGTTCCTTGTTCCCCCAAGACTCTATTTCTAATCTACTAAATATCTTTTGTCGAAGGTTTCGGTAGCGAGGAACTGAAAGCGAGAAGAGGGTGGGGGCGTGCGTAGCGGCGATTCGGTTTCGAGTGGTCGAACACGGACTTACGTGGACGCCGCGACCGCGAACATAAGTGCAGGCATGCCGTGCACTTCACGCTGACAAAGTGACGATTACGCTAAACGCATGACGGTCGGCGCGCGCGTCACGCGTCACGCCACTTTAGCCACTTCAACGCGCGTTAAGCGATTTCCGGCGAAAATGGCCGTGCTTAGGAACGGAGTAGTACGTGTACATTGAGCGCCCGGCCACCGACGCATAATGAGGCTCAATGTTGCCGTGATTGGATTCTCGGGAAACATATTTACGCGCCCGGTTTCCCTCGCCTCCCGCTCGATGGGGGGAACGACGACTGCCCCTTTTGTAGGTTACACGTTCTTTCCACGGAAAGAGAAAATTGTCGACGGGGCGGATTTCGGGTCGAGGACTCGGCCGTGATCGAATTCTCGAAGGATACCGCGGACAATGACTAAGTATTCTTTAACGTCCCGACCCTACGGTTTAGAAACGTTCTTTAACAGTTTGACTGCCACGTCACCCACATATGGGTGACAGAACTTTTAACAGTGGAACTGAAACAATTAATTCTCAAGTTGAAACTTTAAAGAATATGAATTTTAATAGGCTTCATAAATTTTAATGGGTTACGAAAGTAACTACTAGGACAACTTTTAAGTTGTGTAGTTTAGAATTGACTAAAATCGAAGTTTTGGTCTTGCAAACAATTTTAGGATTTTAGACTGGCGGTCAACGTGTTAAATTGTCTGCGCAGAATTTGGATCTACCGGAATTAATTTTAATCAATTAGAGACATGTAATGTTTTGATCCTGCAAGGTCCACTTGGGGCTTGGTGGTGCTTTGTAGAATCTTTTGTCCGATTTTTTTGCAAGCGACAAGGACACCGTTTGGTACGCGAGTTTACCCCACTTTTGCCTATTTAATTCGTTTAATATATCGCGGGCATAGGAACGAGGCCGGAGATATTCGCAAAATAAATTGTACTTGAAACGTTTCCGGGCGTTCGTCGACGACGTTCCCTCCATCCGCGAGCGCATCGGGTATCTAAATGCGCCGCGTGACTTCCACGCGAATGCATCATCTCTCGTGGAAAAAAACACTCGTGGTCGCGGTCGCGGCCGGAATTGATGTAATTAACTAAAAAGCTGAGCTCCGACGTCGCCGCCGGCGGCCCCCTGGTCCCGTCCTACCGTCGTCTGCGTCTCGTTCTTTACAGAAGCCTCGGTCGAACAAAGAACACGAGAAGAGATATTAAAAGATTTCTGCCGGGACCTCTCGTTTCCGCGACGAATGGAATTCAATGGGTACCGTAAACGAGGAAGTGGTTTTTTCTTTTTTTCTCTCTCTCTTCTCGGATCTAATAACCGATGTTTTACCGCCGGTGTAATTACATTAGACGGTCTCTCGATAACCGCCAAACAGCCTTCGGGGTAACCCCGGGGGGAGCAAAACCGGGCCAACGGGGATTTCTCCGCCGCCGTTTTCCCTGTAATTCGCGCGACCCCGCGATCAATCCGGACTTTTCCGACCGAACGTGCTTTCCCGTTCGTTGGATTCTTTTAACGATTCGGACCAGTCGCCGGCCGCCGGACGATAATTTCCTGGACGGATTTGGGTTAAGTCTCCCCGGCCGCGGAGACGTCGACTCTCGTTTCAGAGTCGTCCTGGGATCTTTGGACGGCTTTGATTCGAGAAATTTAGGGAAATTGTTTCGTTTAAATTGATCCGGAATAAAATAGACTCCTCGATGTAAAATTGAATTAATATCCAATCTGGGAAGAGTGTGATTCATTGTTAAGTAATTAGATCGCAACAACATGGCAATTATCGCTTAATCATCGTGATATAATCAGATCACTCGTTACGATGTTTGCTTTTTAATTTTAAGCGCCAGGAAAATGGTAGAAAGGACAACGCCGTTTCCACGACTTCCCTGGACTTAAAATCGCGACGTAGCAACGACGCCATATTGCTTGGGTCGTCCCGTCGCGCGATTAATCGGTTCTCCCCGCGAAAGACAAAGATGGGGGGGGGGGGGGGGGCGTCGTAGTCGATCTCGATTCCGCGACTCGACGCTTGAATCCGCGGGTCGACGGATCGACGTTTGCCGTCTCTGGGGGATGGGAGAGGTTAATCGATATCAATACTAGTATTGGTAACCCCGATTCGCGTCCAGGTGTTGTGCATGACTGTACTCACGGCAAGATGGCGACCGGTCCTCGAGCACCCGTTTCCGCGCTCCCCTGCAGGATACCTCCCCCTCTAACCCCCCTTGCTCTACGGTTCTCTCACTCTCTCTCTCTTTCTTTCTCCTTCTCGCACGCTCTCGCTCCCCGCCTTCGTCTTTCTCTCCTTCCTTTTCCCGTGTTCGCTCGCTCGCGCCGCCACTTGAAATTTTTTACCGCCGCGAGGGGAGGAAATGGAATAAAACGAAAGAAAGGGAAAAAAAAAAAGGGAAAAAATCGGAGCTCCGGCTGCTGCCAACCCGTCGTCTACGCCGACGACGAACGTCGGCCTCGAGGCTGCCGCTGCTACCCGGTGTTTCGACTCGCGAGGCGATTAATTCTCTTAACTGTTAATCGCGTTTCGGTGATCGACGGACGAGGGCTGTACACGGGAGCTGGCTCCAGTTTGGATACGGTTAAAGCACTGAGGCACTACCCCAAAGGGTTATAATTATATATAATTTTTAAATAAGACTGTTTTCTTTTAGGAAAGAAGAGGGAACTCAACTCTAACAGGCCCCATTTTGGACTCTAAAACATTTAATCGTGAGGTAACTTTGTTATCTTTGATGTAAAGCTTCATAAAAATAGGTACAATAGCCTAAAGGTCCTATAAAAAGCACCATCCCAAAGGGTTATAATTATATATAATTTCCAAATAAGACTATTTTCTTTTAGGAAAGAAGAGGGAACTCAACTCTAACAGGCCCCATTTTGGATTCCAAAACGTTCAATGATGAGGTAACAGTTCAACGTATCTACATTATCTGTGATGTTAAGCTTCATAAAGATAGGTACAATAGTGCAAAAATCCTATAAAAAGCACTATCCCAAAGGGTTATAATTAGACTGCGGATCTTAATGCAAATTCATATTTTTATTAATAGAATTAATAAAATGGGAGCTTTGTAGATGACTGTCTCAACCCTTAAATATAATAATTCGTATCTTACTTTAAGTATTTCTTATATTTTTGCATATTGAGTTAGTAACTTACTAGTAGTAGTTTCTTATAGTTTCTTAGAGAGTAGTTTCTTGAGAATTAAAATTCCCCAAAAATGCATAAACATCCGCAGTCTAGTTACAATTCTATATAATTTCCAAATAAGACTATTTTCTTTTAGGAAAGAAGGGGGAACTCAACTCTAACAGGCCCCATTTTGGACTCCAAAACATTCAATCATAAGGTAACAACTCAACGTATCTACGTTATCTTTCATGTTAAGCTTCATAAGGATAGGTACAATAGCCCAAAGATCCTATAAAAAGCTCTGCACCGATTATCTAGGAAGCTAGTCCCGATCGGCGATAAGACACACTGGAAAAAGTTGTTAGAAAATAACGAGAGGGAGTCCACGGAAGAAAGGAGAGAAAATGGTTGCCCCGGTCACCCGGAAGAATTCGGGGATTCCCTGTGTCGGGAGACCTGTCCGCGGGACGCGTCCCATTGTACGGGAAACGGGTAACAATGCTGTAACAACTGCCACGCCCGGTATATTGTAGCCGCGATACTCCGTTTCGCGTCGGTGCGTGCACGCGAACCCGGCCACGCAATTACACGTATCGTCGAGCAGATCGAGATAATGGAACCGAGACTCCTGCGCGAACCAAACGTGGAGGAGGCGGGGGAGGGCGGAGGAACGGTAAACAAGCCACGGAATTGAAATCGAGACCGACAGTCGACGGCAGTGGTCCGCGGAAGGAAGAGGACGGACGACCATACGGAACACGGGACAGAGAGAGAGAGAGAGAGAGAGAGAGAGAGAGAGAGAGAGAGAGAGAGGCGAATTGAAGAGTCCACCGGGGGCCTACGAAAACTAACGAGTAAATTATGGGGCGGCTGCTCGTCCTGGCGTGGACGAAACCGAGGGGCGAGGACGGTTTACAGAGATCGGGCCGCCGGATAACTTTCAGCACCATTAATGTTCTATGGGTGTTTACGAGCCGCCGTTTGGCGGCGACAATGTCGAGCCTATTTAGGGACAAGATTGATCGTGGACGGATCTTTCTTCTGGGCGTGTTTTAATGCTCGAAACTGGGGGGCTGGTAAATTAACCATGTGTCCAAGGAATAGTCTATTTTATTCTGTAAGCCATCGCTCTGGAGGAACGTTTTTTTACTAGAGATCGGGATCGCTTTCCCCATCGACGGGACACCATTTTTTATCGACCCGTGGACCTCGGTTCTCTCGCTGTCGGTGAAATCTATTTGTCTTTCCCCTTCACTCTCCCATTTACTTTCTCGTTTCTGTCTTTGGAGCAATTAGGCGAGGAACACGGAGGCGGGGTAGGTTCGACCGTTCGATGGCTGACATTTTTGAGTCCCGCTATAGTCACCGCATAGTTACACGCGCTTTGTTTGCCCTAACGCGTGCCGGGAAAGGGTCCCCAAAGAAGAAGAGAACGGAAGGTAAACGAAAGGTTAAATTCACGAGGCAAAGCAAAGACAAATGGAACGACGACTGGAAACAAGTTGTATTAATCCGATGCAGGATAATCAGGTGGCACTCGAGCGCCCGCCGTGGCGTAAACGCGTCCACAACGGCGAAACACAGACCCGGGCGTAGAAAATGACTTTGGGATCGGTCAGCCGCGCCGGAAAGCGAAAAGTGGGTTCTCGCGCGAAAACCGTGAAACGAGCGCGTTTTCATCGAATTTCGATGATACGCCAGGTGGAAAAAAAATGCTCCACGAGGATCCGCTTATACCGGGGACGCGCGGAATCTCCGCGCACGAGTGTCGCGCGCGTTCATCTCCACACGCGTATTTTACAAAAATAGTGCCAATCGAGGGAAAAAAAGCAGAAAAAAAGAAGAAGAATAAAACGGCACAAACAGCGATAACGAAGTGGTCGCGACGGGAACGATTTCGAAAAAACATTTCCAAGAACCGTTCCACGGACCGAGAAACGATGGACGGACGCAAGGAGCTCGCGGATAGGCAAACACCGCCGTCGATTGTTGACACGAGGACGATTTTTCAGCCGTGTCTCTTTGCATCCGCTCAGAATATTAGGCGAAATTACGAATCCAGTAAATTTGTAAAAGACTGCTCGAGGAATAAATTGTTACTTCTAATCGTTTAGAGACGATAGGGATGAAGAAGGTTGTATCGTTGGTTTGAGGCGGTTAGGCAAACACCGCCGTCGATTGTTGACACGAGGACGATTTTTCAGCCGTGTCTCGTTGCATCCACAGGTCAGAATATTAGGCGAAGTTACGAATTCAGTAAATTTGAGAAAGACTGCTCGAGTAATAAATTGTTACTTCTAATCGTTTAGAGACGATAGGGATGAAGAAGGTTGTATCGTTGGTTTGAGGCGGTTAGGCAAACACCGCCGTCGATTGTTGACACGAGGACGATTTTTCAGCCGTGTCTCGTTGCATCCACAGGTCAGAATATTAGGCGAAGTTACGAATCCGGTAAATTTGTAAAAGACTGCTCGAGGAATAAATTGTTACTTCTAATCGTTTAGAGACGATAGGGATGAAGAAGGTTGTAAACGTTAGTTTGAGGCTCTAGCGTCAGATTGTATACTTTATATTGAATCTAGCTTTAACGTAGGAGGCTGTTAGAGAGGAATTGATGCAGAGATAGCGTAGGGAAAAAGCGACGACGTCTGTGATTCCTGCCTAAACAGGAATCGAACAATTTGCTGCTAATGCATGCCTCGGCATCCGTGATCTCGCATACTCTCGAGCCTCGTAATGTATTCAGAGGACGAGGGGAGGGGGGAGGGGTGAATCTGTGTGTATCGGGACGATCGCTGGCCTCTGACGTCTCTTTTGAATGTTATTCTTCCAGAACGAGAGGGAGCTGGGTGTGGAGGAGCGATTCGTATTCGCCAGTGCGTGCGACGAGATCGAGACAGGGCACGTTTCGAACTCGCAATTACGATATCTACGGGAATCTCCGGCCGTGTCATTATTAGAATCGATAAAACGAGGTAGAAAAAAAAAGCGAAAAGAGGGGGAGAAAGGGCTCCCTCGTTGGGTATCTCGAGCTACCCGCATGGATACGAAACTCGACGCCATTACCAAGATTTCGAAAGGAATAACACGGTGGTCAGGTTGTTTTGCTAGATTAAATCTTACCAAGGAGTATCTCTAAGAAGCAAAGATGGACGACATAGAGTAACGTGATTATTAATTAGTTTTCAGGGTCATCGGGATGTGACAGCGTTGCAGGAGCAATCTATCCGTGTCGTCGGTATCCTCATTTGAGACTCCAACGGACTCGTAGGGCTACGATAGCCGCGATTCGGTCGCCTCGCGGGGCAAACACTCGAGCAGGCGGGCATTTTTATTTCTCTTGTTGCCCCGGTTGTCGCCGCTGTGCTAACGAATCGCGAGCGCGCGTAACTCAAACAAATTCTGTTGCTCGCCGGTGGATAAAGGATTGAGAGCAAGATAAAAAAAAAAAAAATAAAAATAAAAACAGACGGGCCACGCCATGAAAAACCGTGGAGCGAAAACAGAAGACCAGAGGAGGGAAAGGAAAGAAACGATATCCCCCCTTCTTCGTCGTGGCGTGTAATTACGTGTTTAACAGGGACAATTTTACATTCCGCGGAACGTTATCCCTTGAAAAATTTGGGATGGAATAACGGAATGAATGCAAAATCGCTTCGAGCCGGTCGAGTGGCCCACTCGAAACGAAATACGATGTGGATGCGAGGATTCGTGCGTCAACCCCTCCTGAACGGGAGGGGGGCGGGCGGGCATTTTTCATTTAAAAGCATTTCATTTCGAAACGCTCGATATTTTGTCGTCGGGTTCGCGTGTGTCTCGTCGTTTCGAAATCCCTCGCGAAAATCCGATCTATCAGGGGAGGGGGACGACGTATTATCGAGGAACGAACGAATAGCAGAATTTAATTGAATGTCACCCCCCACCCCTTCGCGGGAGGATTTTTCCAGCGGTTCTTTCGTATCTTCCTTGAATGAATAGTTACCTGGTTCTGAGCGTTCTGTTCCGCCATCTGTTTCTCCTTGGCTTGCCTCTTGCACTTGTATCGATGATTTTGAAACCATATTTTCACCTGAAATGCAAAAAAACAACCTCCTTAATAGAAAAGAAAAAATAATAATAATAGAAATGGTAAAGACGGTGGATTTTAATATCTTTTTGTGTATAAATTTTAGGACTGTTGGAAATTGTTCAGATTGAAAGTCGTTGGAGGCCGTACAGGGTCTTCTCTTTTTTCCATCGAAAATAAAGGAGACGGGAGCGCGAACTGTCGTCAGGTAGGAGCTCAAATATTTTTACAAGAGGGGGAGCGCAAGCCTTTTGTCGCGTGTATACGTTTTAAGTAACCTGGAACTGCCCGCGGACCCCTAAACCCATAATCCACAGTTATTATAAGTCTGTTATTCCTTCGAGAGGGATTTAACGCCTCGTTCGGTTTTTTGTACGAACGGGAGTCCGAATTTCCGCTCACTTCCGCCCGGAATAATTTTCCTCCTGATGTTTTCCATCACTGCGACAGCGGTGGAAAAAATTATTTTCTGATCGTTACGCCATTTCTCTTTCTTTGCGTAATTTGCCTTTGATCGATGAATATCGGCAGAAAATGATAATTGCCAAGAAAAACGCCATGATCGTCGATGTTACAAAGTCGTTTTAAACGGGGGAAACACAGCGAATTCTTTAGAAAAAATGAAAAAAATATAGTCCAGGCTAAGAGGACTTTCGTGTGAAAAATCGCCTCGCGTGGCCTTTAAACGCGTCGCAAGGAACAACGGCTTTACATACCTCCGAACACTTTATAACATTTAGAAAAACATTATGCAGAAACGTTTGAGGTGGTTCTTTTTGTTGCAACGATGAGGGGACCAGAGTAACGTTCCTCGACGCCTTCACCGTCGCGTAAACGATCTTTCTCGACACAGAATATTCACGTCTAAAAAGATTTCTGATTTTTTTTTAGATTGGAACAGAAATAAACTCCCGTTTGCCCCGGTAAACTAATCTTCTGACCGCCATATTGGAAAATTAAGTACAACACGAAGTTCGAGATCTCAAGAAATGTTTTGCAATGGTAGACTAAACTCTAAAATGTTCCAGGACCGCAAAACGGTGATTTTCTGGCGATTGATGGACCGAATCGATAGTTACCCAACGGACCCCTGTTCCGCGCGATGGTCGAAAGCAAAATGGGAGCTTGTGAAGTTCCCGCGGAGGAGCAGCGGACGCGCGGGACTTGAAAGAACCGCTCGAAACCGCTTTTACGGCAATTGAACGCGATCGGGGAACGCCGTTCACGCGCGCGGGATCAGGATCGGCATCTGCTTATGACAGGACCGCGTTATAATCCTCATTGTGCATTATGCGCCGTTCACGGGGGCCTCGATACCGCCGCCATTGTCGCCCGTCGGCGAAAACAATGGCGCCCGCGCCGTCGGATGATTTTGATCCTTAACGCGGGGTCGCCAGGATATCGTTCGATCCGTGTTAAGATCCCTGTGTTTCGAGATCAAATCTATACGCTTAACCCCTTCTTATACTTTAACAAGTCTGACTTGTGATGAAGATTTTTGCCTATCGTGACTATCACGAGCTAGACTCGCGAACAAAAAATCGGCGCAAACGTAAACATCACGAGCCAGGCTCATAGACGCCATTGAGTTTCACTTCCTATCTGTACGCCACAAGAGTTGGTCACGATTCTTATAATCTTTGTTGCAAAACAGTTTAGTATCAGTGTAGTCTGTTTACCATACAGGAGAAAGGATTAAAGTCTCGAAGAGCATGGAAGATAAGTTTGGGAGTATAAAGGTTTAAATATAAAAGGAGTACTCTTGGACAACACACCAATAAAGTAAGAAACTCGGACACTATAGAAATTACAGTGCACGCACGATTTTAACCAGAATGTTCTGGAAAGATTAGGCATTGAATGGGGTTTTTTTATTCCTCAGGAGCAAGGGAGCAGCGTATTCGAGGATTCCACAAGGAGTACAAAGGGGTAAAATTAGAGGCATGTGTGAAAGGTAGGCCTAAGCTCGATTTTTATCGCAACGAATCAAAGGCTCGTCTCGACCTATATGTTGCTCGGCTGTAACCTCCCACTCGAGTGGCTGTAACCCGCTGCAATCCCCCTGTAGCCCTCTGTAACCCCCATTGTCGAAGTTATGCGCGCCGAGAATGCAACGAAAGCACTTTAAGGGGCCCCCGTGCAGCAGACCGTGTCTCGAGTGCCTGCCACCGTCTGTCTAATTCTTTGAATATTAGCGGGATCGGCCACCCTCGAAAATTCTTTCTCCCCCATCGCGTTCGCCGCCTCGCGTGTGCTGCTCGAATGCCAATCGTTCTATCGGTGACTCTGCTGGTTCCACCTATTCCTCGATCACGCGATCCCGAGTCTTACGATCCTCCCAGAGGTACATCGAGACACTCTACTCTGGGGGCCCCAATGGGCTCAGATCAGTACATTAACCCTTTGCACTCCTATGTCGAGTGTGATTCGACGTCAATTTTTATGTTGGGAGCTCCTTCGTCAAGCCCCACTCGACACTTTTTCAAGTCCAAACTAAAGAGTAAATAAAACAGATATTTAAACAGGTAACTTTCAAATAAAACACTTAAAGGCGTTGGTAGCCGCTGGTAACAAAATTGAAATATAATTCGGGGCGCAAAGGGTTAATAGACCAGTGCTACGATCGCTAACTATCCTTCCTAACATTTCACTTACTATGATATACATATTTCAGAGCCTCCAGACGAGAACCAGTTGGATCCAGATGGATGCAACGAGCGAGAACAAGAATCGTAAACATTCCAACCCCCCTATCGAAGGGTATTGAACTGACGCGAGCGTTTTCCAGGTGCTAGGAAATCAGGGCTCGTGTAAATGACGAATGATCGCGGAAGACGAGGATTCGCGGCCCCCAGGCGGGGGCGTAGTAAAGAAAAGCTCCTTTGAGAGCCAGTGGGGGGGCTTGGCGAGCCCTCGACGCGTCGTTGCGCGACTTTCCGCGTACGCTTTGTGCCGCGACCGATGCGTAGGGCTGAGAGAGACCTTATCTAAAAGCCACGAAGAGGTACTTACTAGACGAGGTAAGTACTCTCTCGCCGCTCCCGTTCGTTAATTCCTTTTTCCACCGATAATCCACTCGTCGAAGCCGTCGGAGTTTCGGGCGTGCGGCGACTTCGAGAGGTCTACAAACAGCCTGCTCGCTTCTACGCGCGTTTCTCCTCTTTCGCGTGTCGCGACTCTTTTTTCCCCCCCCGCGGAATTCTCTTTCAGACGAGGAAATAAGGGCTCGATCCGTCCCCCCACCTTGGATAGTTCCGACTCTAACCCGGGCGAATTTACCACTCGTCACTTTTCTTGAGACCACTTTTTCAACCTTGCCTCCTCGAACCCTTTCGTTCCGTGTGGTCTTGGAATCTCAAAGAATCGTTTGTTCGTACGAAAACGCGATATCTCGAGTGAATTATCAACCGATTGATTTTCAGGTGTTCGAGTACGCTGGCGAGTAGTGAAAGTTGTTACGCGTCGCGACGCTTTCTAAACTTCCACCATGACGGACGAGTCAACACAGTCAACGTGCCTGTAATTCCCATGGAAAAGAACGATCGATGTCCAAGCATAGATTCAGCGAAACGTCCGTACGTACGCCTAGGTTTCGATCGTGGAAGGTCCTCGCCTCGAATTTCTTTCCTCCTCTGCGTGTACACACCAGTTATATCCCTATCTCGTTCAACTTTCTCTGTTTACACACCACATCGTTGCGGGAGCGACGGACAAACGGAATGACGGACGGGCCGTTCCCTTGAAATAACAATTCCCTGCGACGGGTTCATCCCGTCTCCATCGACGGGATCTTTCTGCCAACCGGCGATGCAGACTCCCTCGTGCCAATTCAGGCATCGATACTACCTCCACGTTGCTGGCTTTGTTCGATAGAAAAACCCCTCGTCGTACGCTACCTATTTACCCCCCTAGAAAACCGGGAAGGAGACTCATTTTGTAAAAACATTCCTCCAAAATAGATAGTCGAATCGTGTTAGTTAATTTGAAGCTAAAAAAAAATAGATTCATCGCAAGATTCGTTTGCAAAATTGCAAAAGAATGGCTGCATGAGATCCTGTGGACCCCGGGAGCAATCTGTTAGGGAAGGCCTTGTTTGCCTTGGTCGGGCACGTCGGGGCCCCGTGCAAAAAGGCAACGGGGCCCGCGGGGGTCCGTTGGAGGTTTGCTCGCCGTCGGGGAAAGGGGAGCTTAGCTTTAACTTCCGATTAACTTGCGGTTAACTCTCGTTCGGTCGGGTAGGCAAATGAAACGCCTACCGTGAGCGTTCGTAAGGATCCACGGAGCGGACGGAGGCTTTTCTTCTCCGAGAAAGTCCAACAGGGACCTGTCGACACGTTCCTTCCGGGCTAATTGGCGGAAACAAGCTTTCACGGATGATTTACAGGCTTGGTCGATTGGACGTTCGCAATATTGACTCCTGGGATTAGTGTTCATTAGGAACGAGCCTCTAATTGCGAGTGAATGATAAATATGTAGTATAGAATATAGAAATACCCATAGAACAAAGCGGAATTGATGTTAAGGCGTGATTTCACTGAGGCAACATGTCGCATGCGGCAATTACGTTATGTAGACACTTGACATGTGTATTTGCTACACATTCATTTGTTTCCTTTACGAAATAAAGAAATGCGGGATTATTTGATATTGTTTTGTCGAATCGACAAGATTGAACATGTCGAGCAATGTCGTCAGTTAATGACAAGTAGCATGCTACACCCTTTGGGGAGACGCTCGCGTTCGTCCTCGACGGTTTCGTTAATTTTTGCGGTTACCGAGCCGAATTCCTCTTTTTTCCCCCTTTTGCCGTCCGGGGGAACCTTCACGGTCGAAATACGCGCGCAGTCGATCCTCCACTTTGTCGCAGACGTTTAAAAAATTCCGCGCGGCTTTCCAGAAATTATTCACCCGAGCGTGTCCGTGTCCCGAACGCGCGCGATTCTCTCTCGCTCCTGTTGGGCTATTCGTCTCCCGGGTCTGACATCAATTAGTGTATCGAATAA